CACACACACACACACACTATTTGTGTATCAAAATTATTAATAGTTTTGAGGTTAAATTATTTAATTTATAATTCAGTTTTGTGTTGGCTGTTAAAAGTTGATGTTGATTTATTAATGGGGGATTTGTGTACATAGTCAATAATTGTTATGGTAGAAAATTTTACTTTAAAGTGAAATATTAAAAGTTAGATCTTTGGGGTAAGATGACTCCCTCAAATCTAGTTTGTGCGAGAGTTTTTATTTAATTTAATAGTCATTATAAATCATTTAAAAAAAAAAGAATATATAGTGTAATTCAGATGCATCTCTGACTGTAATTCTGTTTTTTCTTTCCTGTCATTATTCAATTATTCAAGTAAATTAGCAAAATGCATGAATATTAGAAAATTAAAAATGCATAGAATATATGATTTAATATTTTAAATGAATAACATCTTCTCTATAGTACCCTACATTTTGGATCTATTCTTTAAACACACGATTCCAAATGTGACTTTTTGACAAAAAGTGAAGTTTGATGAGTGAGCACAAATTCTTCCATATAAGTGTGCTTGTTGTGTTTAATGAATGGACTTGGACTACAGTATGCATTTCTGAGGCCAAGCGTAAGCCTTGTTAGTTTGCTTAAAATGCTTTCCCTTTTAAGGGCCATTAAAAAGATTGAACTATTCCTTCAGAGTAACAACTTGGTATAAACCTTGGAAAGAGGCTGTTTTTTGTGTGTGTGTGTGGGCAGCATTGCATCGATAATCACCCCAAAGAATATTGGTGTAGTTCCTGTTTATTGCTCAGACAGCATTAGAGGCTTTTAACTTCACATCATGAGGTTTTATCCTAATCGATATTGATAAGGTAGTCGCCTACTGTCTGTTCAGTTAGCATAGGGTTCATCATTAACTCAACAGTTTGTGCAATCCAGCAAGACTGGGCTTGTTACTCTCTGTCTTGTTATTCCACATCAGTAGTTCTGCTTCAGGAGGAGAAGCCAGGCTTTTGTAATGGCTGAACAGAGGAGAGTTTCATTTAATGATGTATCTCTCCTGCTCTCTTCCACGTTCTCCAGTGGAGTTCATAACACAGCCATGGACGTGAGCACCTCTCTGAAGATGAGCTCTCTGACCATCCAGAGTCTCTTCAGCTATGTGGAGGAGGAAAACCTTTCGGCCATCAAAGCTCATCTGGACAAGTACAGAGAGGTGGACACCAGAAATGAAGTGAGTGTGCAGGAACCCTTAAAGCATTATTCTGTGTTGTTTTCAGCTTAGGAGTTCATTCACACTGCATATTGATTTTCTTAAAATCTGATCTTTAGGACTGGCTGTGTGCATTGTAATTTTTCAAGTGTTGAAAACAGATTTATTTTAAGGTATAATACTCGTTATTAACAAACCATTAACTATGACTATTGCCTCAATAAACTCATAATTTTGCTGCTTATTAATAGTTAGTAAGGTAGCTGTTAAGTTTAGGTATTGGGTAGGATTAGGCATGTAGAATATAAAGCACATATTCTGTATGACCATAAGTACTTATAGTGTTAATAATAGGCATGCTAATAAGCAACTGGTTAATAGTGAGAATTGGTCCCTATACTAAAGTGTTACTGCACTTTATATATCTAAATTTGTTTCGCCATGCTGAACTCAGACGTATCAGATATAAAGCATTAGAGGCATTACTGTACTCTTTACGCATGAATGCATGCTGTGTCCAAAACCACTCGATTGTTTGCTCATTCATCATACATTATGTAGTAAATGAATGAAATGAAGTGAATTTAATATGAATGAATGAAAATGAGTGAATTCAAACACAAGTAGACACTATAATGTGCTTTGTGTTGAATGATGAGCGGAAAATTTGTTATTGTAAAAAAAAATTATAAATCTGTGTGTGTGTGTACTGCGTATATACTGTATATATTTATATATGGGTCGAAGACGAGATGTCCCATTTTTGTATCTGCATCAAATAAAATTTACAAAAGTGTATTTATTTACATAAAAAACATATTAAATGCAAGTAAAGTGTGTACTTTAATGTTTCAAATAACTGTTGTGAAAAGTGAAAATAAAATATGGGTGAAATAATATTTCATTGTCATTCAGCATATATTTATGTAAAAATAAAACATACATATTCTGACCTGTATTGTTTAAAGTATATAAAAGGAAAAAGTGATCATACTGAATTTTATTATGTTAAATGATAAAAACATCTTGCTGACAATATACATATTCTGACCTGTATTAATGAAAATATATAAAGAAGAAGTGTTCATACTGAATGTTGTTATATGTTACATGTCTTGCTGATGACTAGGAAAAACCTAGTGGGGTGAAGAATAGTGGCAAAGATTGGTAAAGTAAAATTTAAAATGACAATTAATTAGTATTTTAGGGCTGCACTGTGATCCTTAAATAGAGTCTATTTATGGCATTATCTAATCATTCTTTTTCAAAAAATGCCTGACAAGATTTTTTGGTATATGAACTATTGTTACACTGAATATTTTAGTGAGGTCTTCTGTAAATCATGGGAAATATATATGATAGTCATTATTTTTTTCTCAGAAAAAAAAAATAGTAGTACACATTCTAATGTATGGGGAAAAAATCTGCATTAAACTTTTATTTTTTTGATGCTTAAAGTCACCATGAAATCAAAACTGAAAATTCTTATTTTTTAATGGAATACTGTAGTGTTTATTATAAATAATTTATCAGTGCACTTCATTATCTTTTTAAAATTCATGTGCCCTCGTAATCTTTAATCAAAAACGTTAACCTCCCCTCCCCCTCAAAACGACTCATCTTCTCTTCCGGTCACAAGCTATGGCGCAAGGGCGGAGCTAGTGACGTGAG